GATTCCCAGTAGTGTCCTCGGGTGCAGGGGCACAGTGCCTGTCTGCCCAGGCAGGGGAAACCTCTGGGGAGGAACTGGAGCTGCTGAAGGCAGGATAAGTTGGCCTCCTGAGCAGGGCTGTGCATGCAGAGCTGGCAGGGCAGGCACTGGCTTGTGCTACCAGAGCTGCTGGATGATGCTGGGGGTGGGGACCATGGCAGGACAGGCTTCTCAGAGGGCATGTGCGCCTATATCTATGCCCCTCTACGCATTGCCTATGCCTCCTGAGACCAGTTCCACCCTCAGGAGGTGGTATGTGTCATCAGGGACAACACTAGCATGGCTTTCTCAACTCCAGCATGGTCTGGGTGCTGCCAGGCCCAGGCAGGTGCCTGCAGTGCCCAGCGCAGAAGCGTGGTATGGAACAAGCAAGCAGGTGTGGGGGCTGTGCTGAGGGACAACGCCGGGGTCTGGGCAGGCTGCTGCTGCTGGTTTGGGGCCACTCTGCAGGACCTGGTGGCCAGAGGTTGGCTGCAGGTGACCCAGGGCCCTGGGGTAACCTCAGCATTTTAAGGGGCAGGCAAAGAACCTCTCTAGCCCTGGGGCTGGAGGAGCCCCAAGCCCTGTGACCCTGAGACTAGTCCAAAGGTGGCCTCCTGTTTGTGGGGCTGGCTCCCTGGTGGTTGGCCTCTACATGTGTGCTACTGTGCTGTAACTACATCATCCGCACATGTAGATGGTGATGCTTTACCAATTACTCTTCTGTGCAGTAAAGTGTCTTGTGTAGATGCATCCTCCGTGAGCTGTCACATATATGAGATGTTACATGGCAGTAATTTGAAAAAATAAAAATGATTTGGCTCATCTCTGTGTTTTTGAATATATGTATGTATGTGTGTCTGTATGCATGTGTATATACATATATACACACACATACATACTCACACATGCGCTGAATTTTGTCTGTAAAAAGAAAACAAACTAATGTTACACTTTCAGCACCAAGATAACAGTCCCCACTTGTTCCTCAGTCTTGATTACTTACATTATCTCCAGCCAAAGTATCAGAATTTTAAAGGACTATATTCCAAAAACGGGATTAAAAATTAACCAAATAATGTTCTTGCACTCTATAGGTTCAATTGTCTAATGAATAATTTCAGTTAATACCTACAGCTGATGTTTGCTACTATTTAAATGCCAGCAATGTGACCCTGGATGTAAACCAGTTTACTCATTCTACCAATTCTTTAGCAACGGAAAACATGTAGTGACCCTTTCCTGGGTATGAAACAGGACCCTAATACAGGTAGGCTTCAGATGATTTTGGCCTTTGTTAGTCAGCAGCACAATCCAGAAGACATCCTAATATTCTACTAGATCACTCCAAATAAGTCCAATGCCAGTATGGTTTGTATTTCCTAACAGAGTTCCCCATTAGAACATAACTTTGGGAGAAAGTACTGATAAGTAAAGAAACTTAGGCCTGGGGACAATAACTTCCTAGCATGACTAAGTTTGATTCCTTTTTTCTTGACATATTCAAGTTTTCATGTTGTGTCTACACAGAGCAATAGCTTCAAGCAGCAGCAGAGGAAACAGGTTGGAAATTAGGAGGAATTTTCTGACTCAGAGTAGTCAAGCACTGGAACAGGCTGCCTAGAGAAATTATGAAATCTTCATCCTTAGAATTTTTCAACAGCAGGTTGGATAGACATTTGGCTGGGATAGTTTAATTAAGGATGAACCTGCCTTGAGCACAAGGCTGGACTAGATCACTTTGTGAAGTCCCTTCCAGCTCTTGTTTCTTATGATCCTGAATTGACTAGCATTTTCTCAGCCAGATTGTCTTCCTGCTCATGTCACTTTTTTGGCCAAACACAGACTAAACAAGATTAAAAATATTATGTTGTTCATCAGGTGGCCAGTATCAATTACCAGTATGAAACTTCCTATATTCATTTAAGTCTCAGTTAAAGAAATTGACTTGAAAGCTGCTTGTTATGTCATTTATCTGGGCTATGTAATCATGAATTCCTGTTGATGACCCTCATCCTCTTCCCCAAGCCAAGTCCTAAGCACCCTCTTATCTTACCCTATAAGCTTTTTGGAGCAAGAATTACATCTGCTATGTTTGTACAGTTACCAAGAACAATGTGACTTAATTCTGATTGAAGCTTTTGAAAGTAACTATTAAACAAATACAGTAAAATCTGTGTTAACCAGCATTTAAGTAACCGGAACACTCTATTAACTGGAATTTGCAGGTGGCTGGCTGGCCGTGGGGAAGGAGGGGGGAAGCTCACCGCCACCACCCACCACGCTACCACTGCTCTACATACCCCACTCCCTCCCCCCCCCCCCCCCCCCCCCCCTGTGCCAGCCAGTGGAAGCTGCCTCCCTCCCCCCTGCCACGCCGCTCCGCATCCACTCGAAAAGCCCCTGCCCTCAGGTAACCAGAATTTTTACGTAACCAGCACCCCCCTTACCCCACTCATGCCAGATAACAAAGCTTTTACTGTAATCAGTTACTGCTACTGCTATTGACCCTGGTAGTTGAAACATATTTCCTTTTTTTTTTTAACTCTGCATTCCTGGTGTGGAGATAAAAGTGAACTTATTAGAGCCTATCACATTACTGTTTTACTAGGGAAGTGTTGGGAATCTGACATTCTTCCTGGACTCTTGTCCCTCTCTAAGCAAGCTTACTTCCACATCCTGGAGGGAAGCTTTCCTTCCCTTGACTTCAAATTCTTATTACCCTTGTATAAGTGTTATTTTGCTTTCCCCTTTTGTGAAGCAATACTGATGTGGGGGATGAGAAATATTTGAAAGAGAAATCTAGTGGGCCCAAAGTGATTTCCATCTCCTTGTTGCCCTTTCACAGAAGGTCTTGTTCTCCTCTTCCAGGAACATAACAACTCTTCTTTCCTTATTTGCACTGTTATATTTATCAGAGGATAAAAAATATAGGTCCTTGGCATGGTGGAATGAACATCGTAATTGCTCAGCTTAAACATTCGCATAATTTATGGTTTCATAAAGTGGCAAATCTGGGGGCTTCAGGGCAAGCCACAGAGAGCCACAGGGAGCTGGGCTGCATATGCGGTTGTTAGATGCCCTGGAATCCCTGTGCCCTGGAATGGCTAAAAGCTACATGTGCAGCTGTGTTACATGCACGGTTGGTTTTTAAAGGTCCTGGCACTCCATGGTCTTTAAGCACCATACATGTAGCCCAGCTAGATGCATGGTTTTCAGACATTCTAGGGCACCAGGATCCCTAGATCAAGAAGCTTCTTGAACCCAGGGCTGACAATCAGCTACATGTCAGCCCTGGTCCTGGACAGCTCTGGCTCTTGAACTGGACATGGGGCTGACAATCAGTTGACTGTTGGCACTGGTCCAAACAGCCCTGGGTCCTTGGGCTACCTCTAGACTAACCAGGATCAGGCTGGAGCACCTCTGTGCTGAACAAGAATAAGGTTTATCTATGCTGGATCCCAACATGCAGCTGAATGTCAGGATCAGTCACACAGCAACTCTAGGGTCTTGAACAGAGCTGCCCACCACCCAATCTACAGGATCAGGCTGGAGGCAGATTCTGGCATGGCAAGACATGCAGTGTTTGGGGATGGGACATATAAAATTCTTCAGATTCCAATCATGGCATTATTTTAACAGCTCCCAGTAACCATAGAAGCAGTTACTTCAGCTGTGGCAAAACAAAACCCTGATTTCTTTGAAAGCTTGATGCTGTCCCTTGACTTGACACCAGGTATTTTATATCACTTCCCTTCTTTCACAAGAGGACACTGCAGCCTTTGCCTTGCTACTAAGAAGAGCTACCAGTACCTCTATGCCACCAAGATCTACTTAGCTTGTGGGGTACCCCCTCTTTTCACGATAGAAAGTTGGTAGGACATCCTCAGTGAGTCTGGTGAAATTCAGTGGGATTTGGGTGTCTGGCTTCTCTGAAAATCCCAATGTATATGTATTTATATCATAGCAGTCTAAGAGGGTATTGATCACATGGCTCTTATAACAGCTTTTCTTCATGCAGTTTTCCTAACAGTGCACCATTATTTACCTTAAGATCAAGGACATCTGAGAGCAGAAGGGCCTATGAAGGTTTCTGACAGCAAGGTAGAATTATCACATGCAGTCTATTTTTCAAATCCTTATAACAATTTCTTTCTTCTACCATTTCCCTTGAGATATTATTTCATATTATATTCAGCCTCAATTTCCCCTTGCTTAACTTCATCTTCAGATGGAATCTATCAGGTCCCTCTTTGACCCCTATAAGCATGGTGTTAAGAAGAATCATATTATAATCATTATAAGTGGTGCCTAAGTACTGTGCCAAGCTAACACTTATAGATATTTGTCAATTCAAATACCCTGAATTGATATGCTAAAAAATTTCTTGGAAAAACAGAAGCAGTTACTTCAGCTGTGGCAGAATAAGAATATTTATGACAATTCCTTCAGAAACAGGATACGTGCCTTTCTATTTCACAGGTCATACAAATAATTTCTTAATTATTTCTCTTCCTCATCTTTTATCACCTAGGTCTCAAAAGATCAAAGATACAAATGGAAGAAGGTAAGTGAGAAAGAAGATGACACAGGGACACAGGGCAAGAGTAGGACTGCAAGAAAACAGTGGGGAACATCGTTTCAGATAGAGAAAAGTAAATATCTTCATGGTTTCATAGTAGCTAGGGTCAGGAGGCACCTGAATGGATCATCTAGCCTGACCCCCTGCCACAGGCAGGAATGAATGCTGGGTTCACAAGACCCCAGGCAGGTGATCATCCAGCCTTCTCTTGAATCCGCCCAAGGTAGGGGGCGAGGACCACTTCCCTGGGAAGCTGGTTCCAGATTTTGGCCATCCTAACTGTGGCAGAGCACAGGGTGTGTCTGCCACTTTAAGGACCTGGAGCTGGCAGCCTCCAGGTGCCTGATGAGGGCAGCCATTTTGAGGCATGGGCTGCCTATATAAACAGGGCAGTTTGGCTGCAGGAGGCCAGGCAGTAACATTGCCTGGCTGTAGGGCTGATGTGAATGACTTGGAGGTAAGGGGGAGCTGTAAGGGGATGGCAAGGAGGCTCCTGGTCCTGGGCATGACCTGAAACTGCACCCTGCCGGGAGTGGGTGGTCTGGTGGGGCTCTC